GAGGGGCAGCGGACACCCTGGTCTGGGCAGGTAGGGAGGGCTGGGATGGGAGGCCCCACAGCCAGGCCCTGTTCTATTAGGAGACCCCAGAGTCTCAGGAGGCTCCTGTGAGGGAGAGGACACGCTCAGCCTTCAGGAGACAAATCTCTTACAGAGAACTCTCTTCCAGGGCTGAGTCTGAGCCTCAGGACCCACGTGCAGGCAGGTGAGCCTCTCCCCAGCCCTCCCAGGTCCCTCCTTCTTACTGAGGATAAGAAGATACCCCTAGGCAGCTGAGGATGGGAACACCAGCCCTGGGATGATTGAAGGAGATGTCTGGAGGGTCCTGAGCTGAAAACTGTGATCTGAGGGGTGGGAGGTGTCTTGGGACCCAGCCTCTGATTTCCTAACAGGAACTGTCCCCAAACCCATCATCTGGGCTGAACCAGACTCTGTGATAACCCAGGGAAGCCCCGTGACCATCTGGTGTCAGGGGACACTGGATGCCCTGGAATACCGACTATATGCACAGGGACTCTTCTGGGGCAGAAATGAACCAGTGGATCCTGGGAACAAGGCTAATTTCAGCATCCAGTACATGACAGAATACTATGCAATGGGATATCACTGTTACTATCACACCCCTGCTGGATGGTCAAATCACAGTGACACCCTGGAGCTGGTGGTGACAGGTGAGAGGACACCTGGAGGTCCCAGCCCCAAGCTCTGCCCTCAGGAAGGGGGTCTGATGTCAGGGGTGTCTCCCTCTCATAGCCCAGCCCAGGGGTGATGTGGGAGGTGAGAGCCCCATTTAACATGTCTGCCTCCTTCTCTCCTAGGAGTCTATAGCAAACCCATCCTCTCAGCTCTGCCGAGCCCTGTGGTGACCTCAGGGGGGAATGTGACCCTTCAGTGTGGATCACAGAAGGGATTTAGCAAGTTTACTTTGATCAAGGAAGGAGAACCAAAGCTCTCCTGGACACTGGACTCACAGCCTCTCTCCAATGGGCAGTTCCAGGCCCTGTTCCCTGTGGGTCCTGTGACTCCTGGGCACAGGTGGATGTTCAGATGCTATGGCTATTACAGGAGAAAACCCCAGGTGTGGTCAGAACTCAGTGACCCCCTGGAGCTCGTGGTCTCAGGTGAAGACCCCTGACCCTGCCCTCTCTGAGATCAAAGGGCTAGCTCAGGGCCCTGCCCCAGGAGAGTTCTAGGCTGGGATGGGATGAGGGGATCTGAAGGAGGGTCAGCAGAGGGTCTCACCCTCAGAGGGGAGGAGGCTAACAAGGGTCTAACAAGAGTAGGTGCCCTACTCTTTCCCCCATCACCTGCATCTGGAAGATAACAGGAGGGTGCGGGGAGGGTCTTGAGGAGGCCATAGGGCAATATTGGAGGAGAGAGTTTGAGAGGAGGTGGAGGCTCCATGGGTACCGTCACTTCTCACTCGCTCCCTGTGTCATTCCCAGGATCCTCTATACAGCCTGGCTCCTCAACCACAAAGCCAACCTCAACAGCTAGTAAGTCTCAGTGGCATCTAGGCTTAGAAGCAACACAGTCCTTCCCACCCCAGGAAGCCCCAGCCCTCACCCTCCTCTTGTCCTTATTCTCAGGACCCTCTGTGAAGCCCAGGCCCCCACCTACAGGGCCCACCTCAGCACCTGGTGGGTCACTACCTTGTCTCACAGGGAGCAAGGCCTCCCCCGGGGCAGTTCTGCGTCTCTCAGGATCTCCCTCCCCTCAAATGCGCAAGGGTGGGCTGTGTCCAGGGAGCTGAGAGTCAGGCAGAAATGCAGGGGAACCACAGTCTCCCAGGAGTGCTAATGCTGTCCAGTGAGGAGTAGGAGTCCAGGCAGGGGAGAGGTAGGTCCCAGGCTTGGGGAGGGACCAGCTGCAGTGGGAAGCAGACAGCCCCAGGAAGGAGAATAAAAGGTGTCCTGGGTACTAGACTCATAGCCTCCCTCCAATGAGCCGGGCCAGGCCCTGTTACCTTTGGGCCCCATGACACCCGGGCACAGGTGGATGTTCAGATGCTATGGCTATTACAGGAACATCCCCCAGGTGTGGTCAGAACCCAGTGACCCCCTGGAGCTCCTGGTCTCAGGTGAGGAGGTTTTGTCTCAGCTCCTGGTCTCAGGTGAGCTCCTGGTCTCAGGTGAGGAGTGTTCATGTTTTGAGACCTGAAATATGTCACAGTGAGCCTTGCTCCCAGGAATCCCAAGATGGGAGATAGGGTGAGGGACCAAGGGCTCTCAGCGCCAGAGACCCCAGGAGAGAGACAGTGAGAACTGCAGGGCCAGGACAAGACACTAAGGGTTGGCAGGAGCCAGACCCTACAGCTCATGGCCTGCCCTTCCCCCAGCATGTGTCTAGGAAGCCCTCCTCCTCACCCTACAGGGCCCTGTCCTGGCCCTTGAACAGAGCCTGACCCTCCAGTGTTGCTCTGATGTAGGCTACGACAGATTTACTTTGTCCCAGGAGGGGGTACCTGTCCTCACTAAGCACCCTGGCTGGCAGCCCCAGGCTGGACTCTCTCAGGCCAACTTCCTCCTGGGCCCTGTGAATGGCTCCCATGGGGATCAGTACAGATGCTATGGTAGATACAATCTCTTCTTCGAGTGGTCAGCCTTGAGTGACCCCCTGCACATCCTGATCTCAGGTGAGGACCCCTGAGCTCAAGGGGTAAGCTCAGGGCCCTGTCACAAGAGAGCTCTGGGAAAACGAGAAATGACAGAGAGAAGAGGATGGGTACCAGGGGAGGGTCCAGCCAAGATAGGAGGAAAGAGAGGAGACCTCCCACCCCTGGGCACCTTCCCCTAAAGTATCAGTGAGGGTAAAGGGCAGGAAAGGTGGGGTGAGATGTGGGTGAACCTCAGAGGAAAGTGATGAGACTGAGAGTAGAAGACAAAGGCCCCCACCCACCCACCTGTTGATGTCTCTATCTCAGAATCAGATCCTCTCGGTGTCCCAACCCCTCACTACCATGTCCTGACCCCATGAGTGATGGAAAATGTTATCTTGATCCCAGAGAAACTTCCAGACTCATTTCAATTCTATTCCCAATATTGAGGGCAGGGGTCTGCTCCCCAAAGGAACAGGGTGGACATTTAGTGAGGGGCCCATGTGGCTTCTGGAGCTCTGAGAATGGAGCAGCTGTGACCTCTGTGGGCATCAGAAGGGAGGGAAGTGTCCAAGGTCCAGGCAGAGAGAGGGGCTAGAGCTGAAGGGAGGAGGGACTAGGTGTGCCCCCTCTCTGAGCAGGAGCCATCTCTACTCAATGGGGAGCCAGGAGTAGGGAGGACACAGGGCAGGTACTTAGTTTGGGGGTTGGTTGTGAGGGGCCCAGGAGGGGTAGAGTCTGAATGGGCTCTACCTTCCTTGGAAGCTGGAACTTCTGTGAAAGCCTTGGCCCTTCCTGCCCTGGGTTCCACATATGAATGATGGGGAGCTGCCTGGGGGGTGACCTCCAAACATCCCTCTTTCTGACCCCATGGGGCAACTGGGATGTGGCTCACCCTACACCTGCTCCCACCTTCAGCCCTCTCTGGGCCTATCCTGCTTCTTCAATAAATGAGACTTATCAGGGTTAAAATGCTGCAGGAGACATGGGCAGGTGCATGAGGTTTTTATCCATCAGATCTGAACTCTCTGCTTAGTAAGAGGAAGCCAGAATATTATGAAACAGCAAAGATTTACAAAACCCCACTGGTCAGGATCTCCCAGGCCTCACATGACATCTGCCTATTTGCTGAATCCACACCCCACACAGCTCTGCCTGACTCCAGGCCCCTGCCCTGTCTGGGAGGATGTTTGGTGAGGAAGAGGAGGACAGGCTGGGTCAGCAGGGTGTGGTGTCCAGGCCTGATAGGAGACAGGGTGATCTGGGGCAGGGGAGGTGGAGAACAGGCTGGCGACTTGGAGAGAGGACAGATGGATGCCCCCTGGACAGCACATAATTTCTCATGTCCAAGAGTCCCTCACAAAACAAGTCAAACTCTGAAACTGGTGAGTAAGGAGAGGCTCTTGATCATGGGCTGGGCACAGAGGGTCAGGCCCTGTCCAGGGCAGGTTGGTGTCCTGGGGGAACATCCAGGGACCCTGGTGACTTTTGTCTGCCCTGAGCTCTCTGGCCTCTTGTCCTCAGTGCACAGCCCCACAACCCCAGGATCATACTATGGAGAATCTCATCCGCATGGGCATGGCTGCCTTGATCCTGGTGGCCCTTGGGATTCTGCTGTTTCAGGAGTGGCCTGGCCAGAGAAGCCCCCAAGATGTCACCAGGTGACTCCAGAGACAGCAAAGCACCATCCGGTGCGGGAGAGCCTTGGAGGTAACTCTGATGCTCCTGGAAGTTTCTGAAATTAAATCTAGGGCACGTGCTATCAGGACTGTCTGCGGTCATTTCCAGAGGGAGAGATCAGTGTTTGAATTCAGGGATGCTGTGTGGAGTGTGTCTGAATAGGACATTAAACTCTGATACTTTTCCTCTCCACCAATGTCGACTGCCCTTGCCGATCCCCTCCTTTTCCCACCCCAGGCATGAAGCTGCATCCCACGTGGCAGCTCTGAGTCCGGAACTCTGCACATCTGCACAATCTGGTCAACTGTTAGGTCACAGAGTTTTTTTTTTCTTTCTAACTGCCCCATTCCCTGATGCATTTCATCAGTCTCTATCATTTCACTTCAGAGTTCCAAACTTTGTCCAATAACTACGTGAGAATGGGAGATCAATTTTCAACCAGGAAAATGTGTAAATAAAAAATGATGCCCTGCAAGAGTGCAAGTCAAACTCATCAAGTATAGAACATAAATGTCTTAACACAATAATTAAGTAAATGAGGTGAAAGCTATATTAATTAGTTTGATGTAAGCACTCCAAAAAAGAATTAACACATTGTACCCCACAAATGCATAAATGTATACATTATCTATGTGTATATGACTTAATAAAAGGAATAAATAAATAAACAAAATGATGCCCTGACACCCCATCTGAACCCTAAAGCTCCTCACCCTTTATGAAATGTTCTCTAGTTTCTCCAGAGATGTCCCCACTTGGTACCGTCACACCACTTACTGTTATTCTACCCTCCAGCTCCCAGAGATCTATGTGTCAACTTCCAGACAGGACTGAGAACGTGCAGTGTGTGCTGCTCTGGGCAGGCTTATTTCATGGAAGTTCTGTCCACACTGCTGAAAGTAACGGGATGTGCTTTCTGATGTCGAAGTACTACCCCCTGTGTGTACACCTCATTCCCTTATCCTCTCACCCATTCATGTCTGTTATGTTGAATCCGTGTGCCTTGGCTGTTGGGGATGATGCTGTAGTAACAGGAGGGCCCGTGTCTCCCCTCAGTGCAGTGAAGTCCTTTCCTTTGGACGTGCACTCAGCTCTGTGGATGTGCATCACAAGGCAGTTCTATGTTTAGTGTTTAGAACGACGTCCTCTCCTGTTGTCCATGGTGACTGTCCCCAGGCACATTCCCCCCAATGTGTACAAGTGCTTCCCTGCCAGAATCTGCTCTTTTCTTGATAATAGCCATTTTAACTGGGAAATGGCCTTTTTCTACTTTATTACCTATCTTTCTTTGCCATCAGTTTAGAGATCTGGGATTGAAGCATGGTGCTGAGAGCCACAGGCTGCACAAGGCACTGAAGGGCAAACACGGTGGCTCTTGACATGTTACAGTGAACAGGGTGAGTGGGCATCAAGTTCTCCTCCCAATGTGACCTCCACCTGATCACTTTACCCTTTGTTCAATCAGAGACGGAGCTACTACCCAGGTGAAAAAATGGGTCACGTCATAGGACATACAACTGAATATTTAAAATCACCATATAAGTTTCTGGGCCTACTGCGTTCAAAGAATCTGAATTGTAAATCCAGACACTAATATAAATGTGGGCACTATTTGGTTTCATTTTTTCATTTTACTTTTTCCATTTATTAAGTCATATATACATAGATCATGAATAAATTTATGCATATGTGGGATACAATGTGGTGATTTTTTATACTATTTTAGAGGTGGGTTCAATGGGCACTGGATTCAGGGTCACATAGAGCTCGGGTCTAGACATAACAACACTCAGTGTCCCTTTTCTTTTCTTGGATGATAAAGAAGAGAAAGGCAACTGGGTGCAGCTGGTGCTCATCTGGGGTTCAAGTTTGTCCTTATTCCATTTCTAGATGGAATTTTACTGGGTGCCTGACCTTGGAGAAGAGAAACAGTCTCAGCAAGACTTGGTGCTGTCATTCTTAAAGTAAAGGCGTTATTTGTTGTTGTTGTTGTTTTAAATCTCCATCTTTTTTAATCTCTGAATAGTATTCCATGCTATACATATACCACAATTTTTTAATCCATTCATGAGTTAATGGGCATTTGGGCTGCTTCCCCAACTTGGCAATTATGAATTGGCCTGCAATAAACATTCTGGTGCATGTGACTTTATTGTAAAATGATTTTTGTTCTTTTGGGTAGATATCAGGGAATGGGATTGCAGAATCAAATGGAAGGTCAACTTTTAATTCCTTGAGATTTCTCCATTCTTTTTTCCAAAAAGGCTATATTAATTTGCAATCCCACCAGCAGTATAGAAGTGTTTCTTTCTCTCCACATTTTTGTGTTTTTTTGGAATAGAAAAGTGTACGTTTATTTTATATTAGAGAACAGGAAGAGAGTGGAGGAAAGAGATGAGAAAGAGAGAGAAGAGACCAGAGAGCAGGGAGTGGGGAAGGGGAAAATGGTAGGGGAGAGAAATGGAGCCAGAGAATGGCATGGCATCCCAGAGAAAGAAAGATGGAGCCCTAGACTACGGGGAAAGGGGAGTGGGGGAAGGGAGGGGGGAGGATGGGTGAAGAGAATGATATTGTGGGGATCACGCCTATAATTTATCCTATTAGGGTACATGTGAATTTGTCTAAAGGTCAAATATAAATGTCTTAACACAACAATTACGAGAAAGACATGATGGCTATGTTAGCCAGTTGGATGAGAGTTTTCCAAACTGGATATGGAAGCAACACACTGTATCCTATGATAGAATTAATGTACACAAGTATGATCTAATAAAAAATAAATTTAAAAAAAAAAAGAAAGGGATGAGCCAGCCCCAAGGTCCAATGTGAAGATGTTATTTGGATCAATTTTCCTCAAGTCTAAAATAAAATCTTTTTCTCTCCAATGATTCATCCTTAATGACCATATTTGCTTTAATGGTCTCTTTAAGGCAATATGAGCTTTTAAAGTTAAGTGCCTCAAATACTTCCAGCCTCTGCAATTGCACAATTCTAAATTTCTTACTGCACCTTCACAGACTGTATTTATGACAATAGCACACTTCCCTCACTGCCAAAATCTCAGTGAGTTTCCTATGACTCTATTCACAAAGATTAACAAACTAGGTGACTTAAACCATATACATTTATTCTCTTGCAATTCTGGATGCAGTCCCCTCCCCATTCCCAGGTGATGGTCCCTTGGGAGACCCCAGGTCATTTTTCCCATTAAGCAAAATGAGCAACCAGGGGCATTGATCAAAGTTCTTCCCACTGGGAGGATTTCACATCACCACTGTCTTTCGGAGATACCCCAGAAAGGGGACCCCATGCCTCATTTGTTCACCTTTGGGTGGGGCCTGCACATCACAGAGAACCGTTCAATAATCATTCTCAATCTTCTCTTCCTCTCTCACCTGATGGCAGGGAAACCCCTAGAGTTGCCCTCACAACATAGATTGAAGACACACCATGGGGATTCTGATAGTTGTTGGGTCTATGCATTCCAGAACCAGGGATATAGTTGCAGGATCAGTTTGGGAATCCACTGAATCCACAAGCAGACAGACTTAAGCTTTCTTTTTTTAATTCTTTATTAAATCATAACTGTGTACATTCATGCATTTATGGAGCACAATGAGCTGATTTGATATATAATGTGGAAACTTACATCTGACTAATTAACAAAACCGTCTTCTTGCTTACTTATTTGTCAGACTTAAGCTTTTTAAGCTCTACTAACCATGTGACCTTGATAAAGCCCAACTGTGACATGAAGTCACAGTGATGATTTGTCTCTCCTACGATTAGTCAGGTCAGAATCAGTGTGCAGTAGTCCCAATATGGGCGATAATTTCCAGTCCCCAAATGCACAGTTATCAGGATAAAATGCTGTAGGTCATTTAGGGAAAACTGAAAACAAAATCAACAGTGTAAACTCTTGGCAGTTTATCAGGAGCTGTGACCTCAACAGGACATGTCCATTCCTTTCACTCAAGGGGGTCTGAGTCTATGTACTAGCTGAAGTCTAGGAATTGTTTGAGGGACAGCAGTTTTCCATTTTTATAATTCAGGATAGATTTTTTTTTTCTCACCTGATCTAGAAATTTTCTGCTGACACAGATCAGTAAAAATTTAGTGCATTACCTGTCTGTTTGTTTCACTTCGTGGAACACCACACTCAGCTAGCGGACACCAGAGGTCTGCAGGAGTCGGGCCATGCCGAGGGCTGCTTTGACCCTGCTGTCCATCACAGCGTCCACAGCCACCTTGCCTTTGGTGGTTGAATTCTGCCACTTGACCCTGACACGCTGGGATGAATTAGCCCCATGGCATTCAGGTTTCCTAGTTGAGTGTCTGCCCTTTCCACTGTAGGTTCTGACCTATGGGGAAGAACAAACTCAGAGCTCTCAGGAATGCCTGGGTGCCCTCAAAAATTATCCATACAGTATTGTTCAGAGGTAAATATGGGTCTTCCAGTGTGGCGAGTGGATCCTAATCAATAAATCCTCTATAACATTGCAATCTCCCTAACTCTTTGAATCTTTTCCTCTAAACTAAACTAAGGCAGGTCTGGCTTTTTAATTTTATTTGCTGTGGCCCAACTTTTACTCTATGATTCTGTCAATCAACCAGACACCCTACAGAACCACTTTTCTCTTTCTTTCTTTTTTTTTTTGAAACAGAGTCTCACCTTGGTAAAGGGCTATGGCATCATAGCTCACAGCAACCTCAAACTCGTGGTCTCAAGTGAATCTCTTGCCTCAGCTTCTGAGTAGCTTATCCCATCCTCTCCCTTCCTCTCCCCCCTCACTTCACCTCCCCTCTCTCCTTCCCTTCTCTCCTTCTCTCCTATCTCTTGGTCTCCTATCTCTTTCTCTCTCTCTCCACCCCCTTCCTTCATTCTCTCTCTGTCTCTGTCTTTTCTGTCTCTTGAGCTTTGTTCTCTCAGCTGCACACAACTAATAGCTACTAATACCTGTCAGTACTTTGAACTCTTAACAAGTGTTTTTCTGAGATCATCCCAAATCCCCATGCAAGCATTGTCACTGTACTCACAAATGAAATGATAATCACTTCTCAGTGAGGAGATGACCTCACGTGTTCCAAACCTTTATCTCAAGCTCAAGATGCCCCTTTCACACAGGTGCTCAGACCGTGACCATGGCAGCACCTCTGCTAGTGTCAAATGGCATTTGGTAAGTAGGCCTTCCTTTTTGATAGAGAATCATATCTTTAGAGCAATGAAATATTAGGCATATGAAAAATGTAATATGTACATACAATTCTTTTTTTTCCCCCTTAGGGTCAACACTGACCATTAAAAGAAACGTGAAGCTCAAGTACTTTGTGAGGGTTCTGGAGACATAGAGCAGTCTCTCCAAACAAATATGCCGACCTCACACTCTTCACTGTCCTGCTCCTAACAGGGTTAATAGCATGTTGAGTTCTTGAGTTCTGCTTACACACCCATTGTCTAAGGGAAACTTCTATTTAGGGCATTTAAAAATTTTTCAAGTGGTGTCATGTTGTGCTTTC